TGTGCTGCAGGGAGTGCTCTTGTGCAGATGCCCTGTACTGTGAACTCCTCCTAAAGCAGATTTAATGCAAGAAGATCACTTATGTAATGGATAATTGAAATATGGCATAAGGGCACAGGATTTGAATTCATGCTGAGGGAAAAAAGAATCCACGGAAAAACTCCATCAGTGGGCAGCTTGTTGCCAGGGCAAAATAGTGTTGGTTTTACAGTAAAGAGATGGCTTCTATTTCATAGTGTTCTTGTGTCCTAGAAGCGTTTGAGCTGTCTGAAAATACCAGTACATTCAGCAGCTTGAGCTCACCTAGGACTTTCTTACTCATCCCACTATAAGTGCCAAAGAAATAAAGCTCTTTATCCTCCCAGAGAGGGCAGGAAACGCTCCCAGGTGTTGAAGAAAAGCACCAGGATGCAAGCCCTTGTATCCCATGAGTGTTTGACATCCCATTGCTTCCATCACTGAAACTGCAGACAGTGAACAGTCAGGCCTGAGAAATTTGGGGCACCAAATAAGGACTGGTGGGATCCTTGGACCAGCCTGCAGTGGGGCAGCCAAGATGCCAGGCCTTGCCCATGGCAGGGGTCACAGCCAGCCCCAGTGCAGCCCCAGCTGGTGAATGATTAAAAGCTGCTCTGGTAAATGGCTGTTCACCCGGGTGTGTGTTGTGCCCCAGCCTGTAAAATGTTTATAACACCTGAGAACAGTTCATTGCCTCCATATAAACTGTTCATCCAGGGAAACGTGGTGTGGGGCTGAGGGCAGAACTGGAAATGGCCATTCTGCCCAAAGTCGTGGTAGAGGATTGCAAAACCCAAAACAGGGCTCAAGGCTTTTGCCTGAGCTCCCAAAACTGTTCTGAGGCTTCAATGAAAGGTGTGCAGGGAGGAAGGAAAAGCCTCCCTGGATGAGCCTGGCGTGTCCTGGGCTGCAGCATGAGCTCAGTGGGGATTTCCAGCAGGAGCTCCTGCTTCTTGGAGGTGAACTCAGCCTCTCTCATTATCTGGTCTCTGGGTGGGTTCCTTCTCTCCCCATGGAGCTGGTGATTTATCTTATTTGATGGAGAAATTGCTATGACAAAATGCTAAAAGCTCTTGCTCGGGGCTATTTTTAATCTACTGTAGGTGAAAGATCAGAACACATTTCTGGAAGATTTCTGTGTCATACCCTTGTGCTGTGCTGGGTGGGATAAATGGGAGTTGACAAAATACAGGACACAAGATTTAAACCATTGCCCTCTGACGTGCCGAGGCATCCCAAGCGTGTGTGATCACCTTTGTGCTCAGCAGGGGAAGGCTTTGCTCTGGGGGATCCCCAGTGCTCAGCAGAGGTGCAGAAATGCACTCCCTGTTCAGTCTTTAAGCTTTGGTGGTGGTGGTCAGTAGTTAAACCTGCTCAGGCCCCTGTGGGTTTTAATGCAGGCTATTTTCCAGCAGTCTCCCTGTGCTGGGGGTGGTTGTGCACAGCAACACATCCCTGTCCTGTGGGGAGGGAGAAGCTACTTAATGACAGCTCAGCTTGTGCACACTCAGCGGTTTCTGCTGATCCTTTAATAGCCCAAACTGCTCCCAGCTCTGGGATCTCTGTCAGCTGTGTCCACTTCTGAAACAAGAGCCCTGACAAAGGCAAAGCCCTCACAAGTCCCATCTCCCCCTGTTTGCACATCAGGTGGGAACCAGAGCTGGGTCTGGGCAGCAGGAGAGGGGCAGGGCAGGGCAGGGGATGCTCTGGGTGACACGTCCTGCTCTGTGACTGCCCTTCCAGAGCCAGGGGCGGAGAGGGTGAGGCTGAGGGAGCGAGGGTGGCTTGAGAAGTGGTGGCTGAAGGGAAGTTCTGGGCTGGCTGCAGGCTGAGACTGCCCTGGGCAGTCCCCAGGCTGGAAGGGGCACATCCCAGGATTTCACTGTTTCAGGGCTGCCCTGGGGCTTTCCAGGCCTGCCCTGCTGCCCCTGCAGGTTCAGGGCCAGGCCCTGTCGATGCTGAGGCTGCTCCTGATGCTCATGTGCAGTTTGTGCTCCCGAAATGACACATCCTTGTGAGGCCACACCACCAGGTAATGTCTGGATTTGTTCTGCATGTGCAAGTCTTTTCTTGGGCGAGGAAGTGTCACAGAGACTTGGCTGGAGAAAAAAAGGAAGCAGTTTAATCTTAAATTGTAATTGTCACCCTCTGGCTAATGATAAGCAGTATTATGGCCTGTGTATCAGCTGTAATTAAGCAGTGAGACACAACAAGGTGTATGTTACAGGCAGATAACGCAGTGCTTAAGAGCCAGTGACCTGCACAGCACGTTATCTGCCAGCTGCACGAGCCCACGGTGTCCCTGTGGCTCCCAAATCCACTGCCCCCTCTCCCCTGCCCACAGGCTGCTTTTGGGGTGCAGAAATGGCAAAAAGGGTTTGTGTCAGGTGATTTTTATGAAAGGTTCTGTTTTACAGTAATCCATTTCTGCACATACAATAAACCAGGAGGGAACATCCTGGGCCATCATTCCCTGGGTTTCTTCTCCTCCAGCCCTACAGATTAGAGTGTCTCTGGGATCTTGGTAAACAAACTGCTGGCAGTCTGGGCAGAGGGAGAAAAGCAGAGCAAGGAGAGAAGTGTCTCAGCTAATGTCTTTCAGCCAGTAATTGCCAGGATATGTCTGGATAGATTTCCCAGTTTTTGGGTGCTGTTGCCCACTGGAAGGGGTGGATCCTTACTGGGCTAAATGCAAGGTCTGAGCAGGCTGGGAGGTCCATCCTCTGTCTCCTGAGTTGTGCTGTTTGCTGTCAGGAGCACAGTTTGGTTCTGGGGGTTGGGATGGCACTGAGCCCATCTGGACCCTGATTTCAGTGGCTGTCCTAGATATTATTGTATTAAAAATATAAATAAATCGAGTTGGGCTTAATATAAGAAGCAGAGGGACAAAGCAGGGCCAGAGCCAGCTGTCTCCTGCTCCGGGTCCTTCCCTGGATTCCCGATTCCAGCTGTGCACTGGAAATGCCTCTGCAGGGCTGGGATAATCCATTCAGAGCAATTACAAGGTATCCATCCCTGATGGGCCTGAGCAGGCAGGGGCTGCTCAGCTGAGAATCTTCTATCCAACAGCAGCAGGCCTGGGTGGAACCCAGCCCGTGTCTGCTCCCGGTCCCATCCCTCGTCCTTCCTTCGGGTGGCCAAAATCCCATCCCAGTTTGTCCGTGCAGAGGTTGCAGGGGGAGCAGCAGGGCTGCCATCAGCACAGGGGCAGTGACTGCTCAGGGCAGAGCCAGGACTAGGAGAGCTCTCCTGCTCCAAACTGCTGTGTGTGTTGAATCCCTTGGCACTGCAGGGCGATCCTGCCCTGGGAGCTGCAATTTGGGGCAGGGGCTGCAGTTTGGGGAGAGGGGTTGGGTTTAACGTGCAAGGAAATGTAACAGGAAGGGTTTGGTGCCTTCCCCTCTCAGTCCCTCTGCTGCTGCCCTCCCCTCACGGCTTGGACAGGTAACTAAAGGAACTGGTTACTTTGCAAAGCAGCGTTGAAATCCAGGAGCTGGGTTTAGGAATTCTGAACAGCTTTACTGCCTGGGAAGTGACACTTTGCTGACCCTGCAAAGGCCACCAGTGGCTCTGTGGAGAGGTTTGGTGGGTGATTCCTGCTTGGACCATGAGCAGACAGGAATGTGGATCCACTGGGCCCCAGCAGGGACAATGTCACTTGGGACACGGCAAATCTGACTCCTTTGGAGCCGGAAAACCTCCTTTTCCTTTGACCCCTGCAGGGTGTCTCTTGTTCTGTGCAGTTTTCCTCTCGCAGGTCACAGGTATGGGAGAGGGAGGAGTCTTGGGGTGGGAGGTGAAGAGCCAGGGGACTGGGAGAGCTGGGCCAGGGTGGCTCTGGGGAAGCACTTCAAGCAGGAAGCTCTCCAGGTTCCACCTCGAGGAGCTGACTCAACAAATACAGCAGTGAATTGCAGACCATGAGCCAGAGACCCCCCAGATGCTGTGCAGGACAATTCTGCTCCCTCAGTCCAGCCCAGGGAGCCGTGGAAACTTCGTTCCCTCCCAAATAAAAGCATGTGGGAATCTGCAGAGCAGTCAGGTAGGCTGGAGCTGCACATGAGCCAGCTCATAAAAATTCCAGGGGCGTGTACATCACCCCGCTGGGGCTGGCTGGGGCTCTGCTCTCCCCTGGCAGTGCCTGGAGCTCCCTGAGATCACCAGGAATGTCGTTGGCACTCTGGGGCTGGTGCTGCCTCCCCGATTCCTGGTGTTTTCCACGCAGCTCCCGGTGGGGAGGGGGTTTGTGGCTGGGTCACACAGGCTGTTCAGCAACAGAGAGTTCCTGCTGCAGGCTCAGGAAATGGGGCTCTTTATTTCTGCTCTCCACAGGCCAAGTCCTGCCCTGCACCAGTTCCTCACAACCGCCGAGAGATTCCGTGGGCAGCGGAATTCCCATGGAAAGCGGATTCCTGAGGCTGTGGAACCAGGCTCCTCGGAGTGTATGGCTAAAGAACACCAGAAACCTTGGAAAGACCTGCCAGCTGTCCAGGAGGTGACCGGCAATGGAATTTTAGAGCCCAAGGCCAGGGCCCTGGGTGGGATGTGGGGCCCAGGAGCCCTTCCCAAGGCAGGGATGGGGGCCTGTTCTGGGACACCCCCACCCTGGGGAGCAGGGCTGGTGGCTCACAAAGCAGCAGCAGAGGTTTATTTTTCAAGCCCTTTGCTCATTCTCTGGCTTTTCCACTGCTTTACAAGGGCCCTTCAGAGCCGTCCCAGGGCTGTGGAAACTCTGCAGCCACTTCTCAGAAACCCAGGACAGAATTACTCTCACATGTTTCCATCTGCTGCTTTTTGCATTTTCCCCTCTTGCATTTCTTTTTCTTTGGCCCGGAACAAACTCCTCTGTGCTCCCAATTCTATCCCGGGGAAATTCCTCCTCAGGGTTCCACCTCCCGGGCAGGGCAGTGCAGCATTCCCAGCTCAGGCCCTGGACGGACCTTGCAGGGAGGAGCCCCAAGAACAGCCCGGAGCTCTCGGCGTTTTCTGGACAAACAATTTTATTTTCGGTAATGCGTCTATACACTGTACATTCAGTCACTGTGGTATATAAGCATAGCTATTTTCATACATAATCTCATAAAGTCCTTTATTTTACAATATTATCTGCATTGGGGGGAGGGGATGTGGAAAAGGGGGTGGAAAAGGACTATCAAGGTACACAGCGAAATAGATAAATATGCCAAGCTTTTTTCTTATTTTTTTTTTAAATCAGGCATTTATAAACAAGAAAGCATACATTACTTACATAAAAATAGTTCTAGAATAGTAGAGTAAGTCATAATATTGTCATTAGCAGCAGCATAGGAGAGACCAGGATAACAAAAATGTGCTGAAATGCTATTGGCTATTATAAATGTAAAGATTTATTTTTCTTCAATTGAAAAAATGTCATTTCTGTGAGTTCTTTTGATTAAAAAAAAAAAGCAAAAACAAAGCAAAACAAAACCAAAAAACAAAAAACCAACCAAACCAACAAAAAATACCCAAAAAAACAAAAATAAGAAAGAAAAACTTCTCTCTAAAACACTGAGACTGCTGAGAGGGCAGAACGGAACAAAATCAACCTTTTGGTAATAAAATACTTTACAGTGAAAATAAGGACGAGTAAAATGCAAATGATGGAGAAAAGGTTATAACCCACATTGAAAACTTGCAAAAAGATTTTGTTTTGTTTTGTTTGTTTTTTTTCCTAACAGACAGCAAAGGTTCTTCTCAGTTAAAAACACAACTCATAAAACAAGACAACTACCAGGTAAGAAAGAGTTTTGAAAAAGTAAACACCATATACACTTATAATACAACAGTGTAAAATGAAAAAAAGTATTTACATGTTGAATTTACTTTTAATGGTTTTTTTTTTTACATTGGCTAGTTCTGTTTGAAAAGCAGAATATTATGTATAGAGTTAGCTGCTCCATAGATATGAATGTTATTGCTGTTGGTTTTTATTCCCTTCGTTAAGTCTTCGTTCAGTAATAGAAACAAGGAGTAATTAAACTGAATATACAAGTAGTAATATATTTGTAAGCACAGGGAGAGTCAACAGCCTGTATGAAACACCTCTTCTCCCTTTGAACTTCTTAAAGGAAACTAAAGCACAGATGAAGTGAGAGATGTGGCAGCTCCTGCACTCGGGGCTGCAGAGCCCTGGGAATGCAGCAGGGAAAGAATTCCATGTGAGTGGCATTTACTGAGGAGCTGCAGCCCCAGAAATTACACACAGAGCTCCCTCTCCCCCAGCACCTCCACAGAAGGGGGGCTCTCTGCAGCGTCTCTGGGGCTGTCACAGGGACATTTCTAATCACTCTGAATTAGAAATGCATTACATGCTCTGCAGAAATAACAGTTCAACTGTTCGGTGTGTTTGGGAAATTCCCAGCAGTTCAAGCCCTTCCCTGTGAGCCCCTCCTGGGGTTTGGCTGCTGCTGGACAATGTTCCTTCTCCCCCTTTCTTGCACCTCAATTATCTTGCTGATTTTTAAACGTTAATTTATGGAAATGGCTTTTCACTCCCAAGGACCAAATTTGGTGGAGCCTGAACTCGGGCAGGGGGTTCCCTGTCAGGTCCTGCCCTCCTGGAGTGACCAACTGGGGCAGAGGAGGAAACCCCCCGTTGTAATTTTGGTTTGGAGCCTTTTCCTGCCCCTCTGAGCCCCTGCCCTGGTGCCCAGGGGAGGCTCCTGGGATGGGTGTTGGTAACAATATTCACTGTTGTGGTTTCTCCTCTGAAAATCCAGCAGATTTCCCTCCTGCAGGAGGGTGGGACCCTCCTGCCCAGGGAGCCACAGGGCTCCCCTGGCCAAAGAAAGGAAAGTGCAGGTAAGAGAGTGGCTTGTCCTGGGAAAAACACCTGGAGATGGACGTGCTGCCTTTTATTCTTAATTACATAAGGGGAGAGACACTCTCACAGGTCCCAGGGTGGGGACAGGGCTGCTCTCTGTGTAATTTCCCAGCAGGGCAGCAAAGCAGAGCACGAGGGACTCGAAATGCACAAAAATGGTCAACTACAGACACAGTTGTTTAGTTTCCCTTGAAGAAATAAGTGGATAATACAGCTCTGGAAATCATAAGGCTGAGAACATTTTTCTGCATACTGCATAACAAAAGGACCCCTTTACATAAGACAGTAATAATGCCCATTAATGACTATATGGCAGAGTTTAATCCATGCATATGATTTAATAATCGCAGAAAAAAAACATACAAAGAAAATAAAACCCCACATTAAAAAAAACAAAACAAAAACAAAAACCAAACCTGCTCAAGCATAATTAAAATTCCTTTTGCATTGCACTTTAGAAGGAGATCTGCACCTAGAGCCAGTCTCCAGCATCCCAAACACACAAGGGCCAACCCCTGCATCCACAGACAGGTTCAGGTCATTGTCTTGGTGTGACTGTTTCTTGCTCCCAACAGTTTTACACTGTCCCAGTAATTCCACTCCTTTTGTATTTCTTCTTTTTTTTTTTTGTACCTAAAACATATATATGAACTTCTTTGTTAATGCTCACAGTTATTATAATGGTTACTATAATGGTTTCAAGCAAACAGCTCTTGTTTAAAAAAAAAAAAAAAAAATCTCTCTAATGTACTGTAAGTAAATACCATAATTTTAGGATTGGAAGCCGCTTTCTGTCTACTGGGAAATAATTTTGAAGCTTACATAGTTTGCATTAATGTCCAAAAGCAAATAAAGATTACTGGAAATATTTCCTTCGTTTAGAGTAACTTCTGGGTACGATGATGCATAGGGGGGTTGTCTTTTTTTTTCTTTTTTTCTGTTTTTATTCCTTAAGGTAAAAAAGTGTCAGCATTGCCTAGAGAAGATGCTGAGAGGAAAAATGAGCTGGAAGGCACATCTGCAGCCCCAGATCCCATTTTCACGTTTGAGTGTGTCAGAGGTGAGTGTTTAGGGGTGAAAATAACTTTTCTCTTGATCAGTAAAGCACCAGCTTTATTTGTTAAGCACTTTGGGGAGCATCTCTGCTGCTGCCCAGCTTGGGTCAGACACACAGGCACAGACCCAGGTCCCTGGTCTGCTGAATTCCTGCTCGGGACACTCTGGCCCTGCTGGCTCCTCCTGTGTGGGATGGAGGTGGCGATGGGAGGTGGCAGTGCTGGCAGGCTGGTTCATGGTTTGCACAGCTCTCAGGGCACGATCTAGAATGCTTGACTTCAGAAACAGGGAATAAAATGCAGAGTAAACAAAGTGCAGGTTTAAATAAAAAAATAAAAAAAAAATCAGCACCACCCCAAGGCAGTGATGGCTGCGTCGTGTCCCGGGGCTGCGGCTTGGACCCCAAATTAAAGTAACTGCTCTTTCTAAAAACAAAAAGCTTTTTTAATAAAAAAGATGTGGCTTATTCACAGCAGCAAAAACGTTGGTGTTGTGTTCTGTGGGTCGGGAACCCCGGCGGGGAACGGGAGCGGGGAACACTGAACGCACGGCAAGATGGGCAACAAGATGAGTTTTCCAGGAAACTGAAGATTTCAGGATGACTTCAACACACAGATGTCTCTGCTTTGTTCCTCTACCAACTGATCATCCATTTCCTTCCTCCCTTCCTTTCTTCCCTTTCCCAAAGCTCAAGTGCTCCTGGATGAAGTCTCTGAACACACCAACGGTGCTGGCGAGGGCTGCACGCGCGGGGCCCGTGGGGCTCTCCGTCCAACACCACCTCCTTCCCCACCCCCTGCACGCTCCTGCATCTTCCCTTCTTCCCGTGTTTAGGGCAGGAAATTAAGGTAATTCTTTCTAAGGAAAAAAAAAAAAATCAATCTGGAAAAGCACTCTGAACTTCCCCCACCCCCACGTGATGGGAGGGAACCGCGCTGGCTTCCAAGATGGCTGGAAAACTGCCCCTGACGTGGCATCATCACCAGAGAGGGGCTTCTGCACAAAGAATCCCAAAGCCTTTATAAAGTCATTAAAAATTGTGCATCGAAGGTTTGTTGTTTTTGTTTGTGTTTTTTTTTTTTGTCTGTTTTGCTTTTAAAGGTTCATTATAAAAATCGTGTTAATTTTTTTTAATACCAAGTCTGTGTAATGAATTATTTTAAATAGCTTATAAGAAAAAGTTGGTTTGTTTTGTCTATTCCAAAATGTCCCAACAGGCAGGAGAACACAACCCCGCTGCCCTGCTCGCCTTGGACTCTGGGTTCAGCTGGACGACGCTGCTTGCTTGGAGTTTGCCAGTAGAAAATTTCGCTGTGGACTTAAAAGTATTTTGTTTACAAACACTTTGTGTTTTCTAGGCACAGTAAGATGTTGTGCTATATGGATCGGGAAACAAAATAAAAAAACAACCAAAAATAAAGAGGCAGAATTCAGTGCTTCTGTTCTAGAGGGTGACATTTGCCTTCCAACTGCTGCGAGTCCGTGCTCCCGCCGCGAGTGCCAGGACACCGCTCCACTCACACCCCCCTCGCCCTCCCTGTGCCGGCGCCGCTCCGAGGCCTGGGCTGCTCCTGGGCTCAGTTCTCCATGGGGCTCGAGGTGCTCTCGCTGCTGGGCTGGCTGCTCGACTTAGGCCACAGTTGTTCCTGAAGTTCCTTGACCACTTTCTCCAAGTGTTCCCGGGCCTCCCGCTCGTGCAGGAGGTCGGCGCGGAGCTGCTCCCGGTCGGCCTCGGCGTGCTGCAGCTTCACCTGCAGGTCCTCGATCTGGGGGCAGAGCAAGGGGGATGCTTCAGAGCCTGCACTTCACCCCAGAGCAGGGATAAAACCCTGCACCTCAGCTGTAGGACTGTCGGGACTGAGGCAAGGAAGGAATTCCCTTTTCCCGACAGCACTGCCCACCTCTGTGAGGGCACTCAGGGGCTGCTGAGCTTTGAAACTTCCCAGGGACTCCAGCTCCAGCAAGGGAGGTGAAACCAGCAGAGTCCAGACACAGCCTAAGAATTCCTTAATGCAACACAACTCTGGTCACTTCTTACACCGTCACTGTCAGTTCTTTAGGCAGGGACAGCTCTGGCACAGCTGGATGGCCTGGGGGGCTCAGGGAGCCGTAACAGGGCTGGAATCAAACAGCAGGGGATGCTGCCAACCTGCCAGTCCTGGCTGCAGAAAAGATAAACCTGCAGAATATTTGGCTACTTGAGCTCTTTTTGAGGTGATTTTAGCCTTTAGCTTAGGAAACCTCATTTATTCCTTCCCAAGGAGGGGGTGCATTAGGAGACTGGAGCTCCCCATTGTCACGGGCTCTGGAGCAGCCCCAGTGCCTGGCTGGACACAGCTGGAGCACACCCAGCCCAGGGTTCACCTGCCCTGCTGGTGCCTGTGCTCTGGGAACAGCCAGGAACGCCCAGGGCAGCAGCTCCCGGCGTGGCTCTGTTTAGTCTGGACACCCCTTATCAGTGAGACATCCTGTGATGCTGGAGAGGAAGCCCCACATCATTTCCTGCTCCTGCTCAGACGTGTCTCAGCAGCACAGGGGCCACTCCCCTTCCCGTTATCAGAGAGCCTCTGATTGCCAGGGCTCTGCTTTTCCTCTTCCCCTCCTCCCTTAAAGCCGCCACACCAAATACCTGCAGCTCCCACCTGAGGCCCAGCCAGGGCTCCAGGGAGCTCCTGTGTCTGACAACCCCCTGTGCAGCCCCCCTGTGCTCCCAGAGCTCCTCTGGCAGCAGCTCAGGCAGAGGGAGGCAGTTCCCTGGGATGGCAGGGCCGTGAGTTTGAACTGTAAGAGTTTAAACTGCGGCCCCTGTGCCCCGTTTTTCAGAGTCCTGCCCTTCCCTGAGGCATCTTCCCCTGGCTGTGCCTGGGGGGCTCTGACAGGGGCAGGGGCAGGGGTAGGGGCAGGGGCAGGGGCAGGGCAGGGGCAGGGGCAGGGGCAGGGGCAGGGGCAGGGGCAGGGGTAGGGCAGGGGCAGGGGCAGGGCAGGGTTGTAAGGCCTCACCTGAGCCGAGTACTTGGCGCGCAGCCGGCCGGCCTCGCAGCCCTTGTCGCACACGCGGATCTGCCGCGCCTGCTCCAGCTCCCGCTTCAGCCGCACCCGCGACTCGTTCGCCTCCTTCATCTTCTTCTCGTTCTCCGCCCGCAGGCGCTCGATCTCCTTCCGCAGGTTGCGCTTGGCCTCGGTGGCTTCTCGCAGCTTCTCCTTCTTGGCCACCCGCAGGAACTCCAGCTCCTGGACAGAGGGGGAGGTGTGAGAAGGGAGGGGCAGAGCCCTGGCTGTGCCAGGGAAGGGACCCAGACCCCATCCCCACCCCCTGCCGGCGGGGAGCGAGGCAGCTCAGGGCTGAACCCCGCTCTGACCTCTGCACCAGCTCCTTTCCTTGAAATCCTCTGGGGTTCCTGCACTCCAGCCACCCCCAAGTGCTGGGTAACAAAAAGCTCGGTGGTGCAGCCACGTTTTGCTTTGTCAAGCAGAATGGCTGCGACCATCTGGGCCTGAATAAAGATGAAGTGCGGTTGGAGAGAGCTCCCAGCAACGTGCTCTGCTCCGGCTCCACGTTCCAAACCCCAACTGCAGAGCCCGGGCTGGAACTGGAGGCACTGAAGATGCACAGCGTGGTAAGTGCAGGTTGTGAGTGTCCCCTGTGTCCAGCAAAGCCCGAGAGGAAAGCTCACAACCAGCAGCAGCTCCATTGTACCAACCCCTCCAAAAATCTGCTTAAGGCAAGTTCAAAACACAAACTGTGAGTGTTCTCTAACCCTGGGGTGCTGTGGGTGAGTGGTGTGAGCCCCAACTCTCCTGGCAACCAGCCCATGGACTGCTCTGTCTCAACAGCTGGAAAACTCCAGGCTACCTGGAGCTGAATGGAAACCACGCTCTGCCCTGGCAACTGCCACTCCCACCATCCAGGATCTGACCAGGAGCTGCTGCCTGGGAATCTGGATCCATGAGAGAGGGATAAAGAACCTCAAGGTACACAGGAAGCAGCTCCTAAGTTGTTAAAGTCCATGTTCATCCTGAGCACACAGATGTGGCTCACAGGTCTGTCTCCTAAATGGTTAAATTGGAAACTCAAGCTCTTTTTTTCCCCAGCAGCAGCATTTCCTCCCTGTCCAGCACCGCTTTCTGTGAGGGAACAGTGCAGGCAGGGCATGGGAAATGCACTCTGACAGCCTCCCTTCCCAGCCAGGCCATTGTTAGCATGGCCCTGCCTCTGGAAGGGCCCCAGAGCCCCTGCAGATGCACACACAGGGACCTCCTGAGTGTGGAACTGGGAACCCACAGCTTCCCAAATGGAAAACGATGCCCAGACACCAGAGCGCCTGTCCCCCTGACGTGGGGAGAGACACTTAACACCTCCCCACTCAATTCTGCTTCCCCAACTGCCTCCTGTAACTCCTGCTTTAAGTACTCACTGTTTAGTTTAGATATTTAAAAATTAGCTTTAAATATATATCACTTACAGAAGTTTACTTTTAAATACATAAAATAAAGCAGAGATTTCCTGAAACACAAGGGAATGAAGTGCTTTGCTCAGGGTAACTGAGAACAAGCCAAAGAGCCCCAGTGCTGGTTTTGTGTCTCTCAGGCTCCATCAAACCAGCCCCACATTTACATCATCCCATGGGCGAGTCCCAGCTTGGGAACAGCCCCACAGAATACTCAGAGAGGACACACAAACCTTCTGCATTGGCTGTATCTTCTATTTCTCTGCTCTACTTCTGCCCCAGCCCAAACAAAAACCAGTTCAGCCACCACAGGGCTCAGCTCATGGCCAGCACTGACCTGCAGCTCTGTCTGACCACTGATACAACCCACGTGTCCAGGATTTCCAGAAATAAGGAGCTGCTGCCCTGACTGAAGCCAGTGGGATGCCTGACAAAGACCTCAGTTCAGCTGTGGCCAAGCCCCAGGAACACCCTCCCTCAGCTGGGACACGGCAGGGTTTGCACAAAGCTTTTAAAACTCCAGCTAAAGCCTCCAGAAATGTTTCCTGTTCAGTGAAATGAAAACAAAATAAACTCTGCTGGACTAGGAGACTTTTTCAGTAATGAAAAGATGTTGATTTTGGTAACCATGGATTTATAACCCAAGGAAAAACAGGTGGAAAGCTTAAAGATGTAGGAATGGTTCCTGTGCTTTGGTTTCCCGGCTGGATTTACAGGCAGAGCCCCAGCAAAGGTTGTTGCTATTTGGGAAAAGGGAGGCAATCCCTTTTTCCCTCGAGGGCACCCAGTGCCCCTGAGGAGCACCCTGGGCAGGGCAGGGCAGGGCAGGGCAGGGCAGGGCAGGGCAGGGCAGGGCAGGGCAGGGCAGTACCTGGTGCAGGCTGCGCTTGGCCTGCAGGGCCGCGTTCAGCTTCTCCTCCTGCTTCACCCTCATCTTCACCACCTCGTGCAGGAATTTTTCTTTGGCTTCTTTTGTGTCCAGGCCACTGTCCAGGGCCTGCCTTAGGTGCTCCAGCTCAGCTTCCAAGCCGCTGCTGTGGGGGTCAGGGTGTGCTGCCACCTCGTAGGAGCTGTTGACGGGGACCGGGGGCTGCATCCCAGGGGAGCTCATGTCCTTGGCAGAGCTGGAGGAAGTGAAGGATGGGGAGGAGAGCGAGGATAAGGAGGAGGTGACTGGAAAACAGAAACATTGAAACGTTAATTTAAAAAGGTCTGAAATCAACACATGTATTATACACAGCTCACATGTAACTCATATTTAAGAGTTGGATTCAATCATCCTTGTGGGTCCCTTCCCACTCAGCATATTCTGAGATACATATTTTATATATATATATATATAATATAGCTCAAAAGATGCTGAGGCCCTTTTATACAGACACTCTCAATATTCCATTAAAAAAAAATGAAAGAGAATAAAACCTGGCTCATTTTATACTGTGATACTTGAAATGTGACACAAAAGCAGCCCTGACTTAGGGGACCAACTCGCACTTTGCTTGAACTGTGACGGTGCAATTTATGGCACTGCGGCACCGCTGAGGCTTCGGCCTCCCAGAATCCCTTCTGAACACCCCAGTTAAAGCTCCAGCCCAGAGACACCAAAACAAAGGCAGGTCCAACCAGCACTCACATTCTTCCCTGGTTTCCACTTCAATTTCTGCCTCCGACTCCTTGTCCTCCTCGGGGGCCGGGGCCGTGGCCTCGGGGACGGGCGCGTGCTCCACGTGTTTCCTTTTCCTGGGCTGGCCAGAGCTCAGGGAGTCGCTGCCCCGGGACACCACGGTGGCACAGGGGGGGTTGCTCACGATCTTCTGCTGGGCTGGGGGGGCCAGAGCCACGTTGGGGGCCACGGCGTTCTCGAAGCTCTTGTAGGAGTAGAAGCTGGTTCAGAGCGGGAGGCAAAAAAGGAGGAAATGGTCACGTTCGTGGCTTTAAAGATGCTTCCCAGTCCATGTGTTACATGGGAATGACAGTGAGTTCCACTCATTCACAGCAGCTGAGAACCTGCTGTGCTCACCCCCCTGATTCTCACCAGCTGAGAACCCCTGTTTGTCAGAGTTTGCTCTCATTAAGCCTGGAGTGACGGGCACCCAGGGACCACATTCCCAGTGCCACAGACCCAGGGGCACCCAAGGGATGGCACCCCCGAGTCACAACGCTGCTCCCTCCTGCCCTTCCTGCCCTGCTGTTCTGCCCAGCTGCACTCTGTCCCTGTGTCCATCCACAAACGTTCCCTGAGCTCAAACCGGCGCTTCCCGAAGGGACACCATGGAGTGCCGAGGCGCCTTTGGTGTGCGGTGATTTCAACACCCGCGTGTAAAACCACAGGTGAACAACCAGCACAGCCGGGGCAAAGAGCAGCAACCCTGTAACACCCAAAGTGCCCAGCTGTGCCAGGAGAGCAGCAGTGGCGGGCACACCAGCAGGAGCTGCCCCTGTGTCCTTACCTGTCCCGGATGAGGGCGGGCAGGTGGCCGGGCAGCTCCTTCTCGCCCGCGGACACCGCGGGGGACCAGGGCCGGAACGCCGAGAGCCGCTGCCGGGGGTGCACACACCCGATGCTCTGGGGAGAGAGAGAGGGCAGTGAGCACCCACAGCCAGCACAGCCCAGCACAGGGACACCCCAGGGACACCCCCATGGCCAGGTCCTGGTTGGCAAAGCCTGGGCAGGTTCATTCTCCTCCCTCATTTCCCCGCTCCATGAAGTGATGCCGTGAGCTCATCTGACCTTTCCATTACAAAATGTTCAACAATCACCTTATTGGATGAACTGGATAAGGACCGTAACCAACTGGACTGTTTTTCCTTCTCAGTAGAGGCTGGAGATTGGGAAGCAGAGTCATCTATTTTGGGCTTTTTGGAAGCAGGAGGATCTGAAGAGACCTGAAACAGAGACAGGCAGGAAAAATCAAAGTCGGAATTTCTCCCTTTGCAATCAGCTTAGAAACAGGTGATAAGGCAAAAGCCAAACTTGTATTTAAAAGGAAGAAACCTTGGGTGTTGTCCTGTGAGGCCAAACAAAGGAGTGAAGATGAGGGGCAGACACCAGCTCTGACAGAGCAGAGATCATCCCTTCCCTCGGGATCCTCCAGCGCGGCGTGGAGGGCGCAGGAGAGAGGGGCAGTGACCTGAGGGAGACACCCACTCCCCACGGCACAGAACTGTCGGCCTTTTATGATTCTTGTGTGCAGAAAGGTGAGTTTAATGTGGTTGCTGGACTGGAAAGATTATTTTAAACGAGAACAGACCAGACTTTGTTATTCTGTTTGCAGTGGTTGTTATGCCGATGACTTCACTACCCCACAGCTGCAGTGGATTCTGGGGGTGCTGCCAAGAGCTGCTTTGCCTTTTCCACAAGCGGCTCAGCTTGGCCCATAAATCATCCTCAAGCATAAGAAAGCCCTTTGGCAAGCAAACCCCCTTTCCTTCAACACTGTGAAGGAATAAAATTCCTATAGTCCCAGCGTGGCTTGCAAAAAAATTGGTAACTACTGGTTTAACTGGTGCTCTGGGGATACCAGCTGGAAGCCCTGCCAGCACAAACACGGCCATGGGCAGGCAGGGAGAAGGTTCTGGGCCCTGTGCTGCACAGAAATAATGAAAGAAACGTTCCACCTCCATTTCCATCCCTTCTTCTGTCTATTTGCAGCTCCAAACTCTCCACCCTTCCACGCTCCCCAGCCCTGGCTCCCGGTGAGGTGGCAGAACCACGCTGCAGGAACTGCTGAATGCTCATCTCGGCACTGACTTTTTTCTTCCCCACACTCTCTGTGATTTCTGTGGGCAAACAAGTACTGATACAGGTGTGTCTGTAAAACACATCCTGGGAGCCCCAAGTGCCCCAAACCCAGGTCTCCTGGCCAGTGATGGAAAGGATCTTATTTTGTTCTCAAAATCTGTCCCCTCCAGGCACCTTCAACTGGGAACTCAGAAGCTGCTCCTGCAGGTGATCATGGAACCCTGTACCTGAGGAGGTGTCCAAGTGCCCTTCTCCAGGCTCTGTAACTGCAGCCATCCCACCCCCTCTGCACACCTCCATTAGGAGGAAATCACAAATCACAGCCTCCTGTCCCTGCCCAGCTCCTGCCAGTGCCTCTGGCACACCCTCCATGCCCAGTGTGCCCAGGAACGTCATCAAACCGTGCCCAGAGGGCTCAGCACAACATTCCCTGGCACTCAGGGCAGCTTTCCATGCGAGCAGATGAGGGAGGATCCCACGGGAGGGGGGTGTGTAACCCCCAGTTACAGCCAGCCCGTGCCAGAGCCAAATGCCAGCTCCAAGGGATTTGCAGGGGATTCTTTGGGCACAGCCTCAGGCTTCCCCAGGGCCGCTCAGACCCAACCAGGAAAAGGCATTCCCGTTCCTGACCCCTTTCTGCAGAGAGCAGGACAATGCACTGGGAGGGATTTGTGTTTGCTCTCGGAGATGCTGCCTGTGCAGAATTAGTGACAGCATGAGAAAGGTATTTGGCAAGAGACTCCTGATCCCAGCCCTATCCACTGGGGATGGTGAGCTGTGTGGGGAGGGGAGCTGGGCTGGAGGGTGGGGAGGAAGGGGGGCTTGGAATGGACAAGGCAACAGGTGGCAGGACTCAGCATGGAGCCCGTTCCTCCCCCGGCCCTCCGCCGGAGAACATTCTGTGCTGGTGTGGGACAGACACGGTGACCGTCCCCACTGCACTGGGGCATCCCTGCTCCACAAACGGGGCATCCCTGCTCCACAAACAGGGCATCCCTGCTCCACAAATGGGGCATCCCTGCTCCACAAAGGGACCATCCCTGCTCCACAAACAGGGTATCCCTGCTCCACAAACAGGGCATCCCTGCTCCACAAACAGGGCATCCCTGCTCCACAAACAGGGCCATCCCTGCTCCACAAACAGGGCATCCCTGCTCCACAGACAGGGCCATCCCTGCTCCACAAACAGGGCATCCCTGCTCCACAAACAGGACATCCCTGCTCCACAAAAGGGCATCCCTGCTCCACAAACAGGACCATCCCTGCTCCACAAACGGGGCCATCCCCGCTCTGGACACGACGACACACGGGAGCAAGAGTCCATTCCTGAAAGGCTGCAGGGGAGATGCTTCAACAGAATGATCTCATTTGCTCATCTCCAGCTTTCTCCACTCCCCCCCCTCTTTCCCCTCTAAATGCAGGCTGACACCAAGGGCCAGAGCACAAAACCTGTTGGCAGACCTGGGAAATGATCCTTAACCTCGTTGCCAGGAGCCCGTATTGATCTGCAGACAGGAGCTGCAGCTTGGGAGAAGCAGTGGAGGAGGTGTGTGCAGGGAAAACAGGTCTGTCCCCCAAAGACATGGAAATGGCAGAGGAAAGGAAGGATAAAGCAGGGCCTGCAGGGTTTTCTAACTTCAATCACCTCCCACCACGGGACTCCTGTATCCCGACAGGCCAGAGCTGCCTGATGCAGCCCAAAGAAGGGCTGCTGCCAGTGGGGGTTTGGAACTGCTGTGACAACCTCCACCAACCTCCATCCACTGCCCCATTGTGCTCCTGAGGATCATCTGCTGGCTGAGCACCTTGGGAGCTGCTTTAAAGATGCCACCTTAGCAGTGTAAAAATGTAATAATTCCAGTGGTTTCCCTGCCGGTCGATGGAACATCGAGTCACTGCACGTTGCTGTTCGTCAAGAACTGGAGGTTCCCCCCGAGGCCCCTGGCACAGAACCACCCTTCTGGCCACAGCCTGGAGCCACTTGATTGCATTTTTGCAGGCTCTGACTCTGGAGGAGGCAGGAGTGAATTCGCTCACGGCTACAGGAAGATACTCGGATGTGGAACAGGACGAGTCACTGAACACAAAGTCTCCTCTCCAGGTGACTCAGCCATTACATCCCACTGCAGGACAGATTCCAGGCACCAAGACACCCCCCTCCAACACTGCTCTGGCCCCAGCAGCCAGCAAACCTCGGTACTGCCTCAAATGGGGATGATTTGATCTCACTTCTTCTCTTTGCCAAACAACGAAACACACGGAGTTGCAAAAGAAACACTGAAAATCCGATGTAACTTTTTTGCCATCCTCACACATGATTCATGAAACCCTTGAACACAAACTCTGGGAGACTGAGATAAGTATTTCCCGATTTCCTGTTCATTTTTTCTTCCATTGGAGGCAACTTAACAATCTGTTGTCAAATGGGCCTCGTGCTGGGCACACCCACTCATGAATACACATTTTCTCCCATCCAAACCTGAGGATACAAAGGGGCCCAGGAATGCTACAGGAAACATTCCCTTAAGCTTCGGGACTGTTGCTTTTTGAGGCAAACAAGTTTCAAGGAAGAACAGATACAGAGGGATTTATAAAGCTGCTGAGGAAAGATTTCAGAAGTCCACTCCAGAGGGAAACTGGGCCTGTGAATAATGTCAGCCGTTTTAAGGCAAACCGAAATTAGGCAGCTCAGCTTGGCCTCCAGCCAACCAGGGCCACATTTGACATGTCAGATCAAATTTTCTACTTCAATTAAGTATTACAGTAACAGACCATGAGACCAGTGGAAAGAATTTCTGACCCTCTCCCTCTCAGAAAGACAAACCTCCCCCAGTGCTGGGCACCAGGGGCAGAACCAGCAGGCCCAGGTCGGGCATCCCAACGTGCAACTTTTCCTTGCAACCACGGCAGAAAATGGGCCCAGCAGAAATTCTGACACTGTAAGATGTGGGAGTGCTCACAGATATGATTCTTGGTGGCTGAATATCTCCCCAAACACACCTCCTGGAGTAATTCACTTTCTTTTCCCTACTGGGCTGAGCAAAGGCTTCTGTTCCCTCCTCATCCCTGGCCCTGCTGTGCCCAAAAACAGGGCTGTGTCACCTGTGGGGCCGCACATGGCAGTGAAACCTGGGCTGCTTTTGCCCTGTTCAGAATGAAAGCATTACACAAAACCAGCTGGAAATACTTAGGAGGCCTCCACGCCTGCATCCTGTGCCCCAGAGACGCAGCAGCTCTTCCTGCAGTCCCAGGAGCAGCCGAGAGCCTGGCAGAGGTGCAGGGACCCTCAGCTAAAGGGACAGAGCTGCTCTGCAGGGCTTGGATGAGGGCTGGGGATCCATCCAGCCCTTGGCCCTGTCCAGTCCTTTGGGAGAGGGATGGGAAACACGGCCCCCAGAGCAGAGGGAACCACGGCATCCTGGGTGCCATCCTTGGAAACCAAAGCCTGAGCGTCCCTGGAGCTACCAAGGAACCTGCATTTAAACCCCTGAAAAATCAACGGGGAACACACTGGGAGGCTGCAGAATTCATTCTGTATTCCTGAGCAGGGAGCACATCAGGAGCGGGCTGTAAATCCCCAGGCAGAGCCGGAACGCTGGGGCTGCTCCTGCCCCGGGCTCAGTTACAGCGGGTGGGGCCTCCCGGCTCAGCGGATCCCGGCCGGGTGCCACAATTAAGCCGCTTTCTCATTAGGGCAGCAGCCCCGGCGTCTGGGCTGATGTGAACCCGGGGAGCAGGCAGGGACTGCCCGGGGTCACGGCGTGCCAGACACTGCGGGGGAGCAGAGCCCTGGGGAGCTCCAGGGAAACCACGGGCACGGGGGCTCCAGAAACAGCCAAGGAGCCCCATCCCACATCTCCACGGCCTCGGAGCCCCGGAAGGCTCCAGGAGGATGTGCAGTGCACAGAGCTCCTGCTCCACACCCAGGAACGCGAGTGGGAATGAGGGAGCACCTCCAGGGGCTGTTCCAGGGGCTTTTCCTGGCTCGCTGTGTGACCACAGAGCGGTTCCTGACGCTCAGCTGAGCAGCAGAGAGAAAACGGGTGCTGTGACATTTGTGCCCTGCTCTCACCTGCAGTGAAAGGAGCCAAAGCCTCATCTTAAGCCCAGGTAAAGTCCCAGCCCAGGTCAGGCCTTCCAGGCT